AAAAAAAAAAAAAAAGAACAATAACAAAATTTATTGTATTGAACGTAAAATAAAAAATTTGTGAATGATTGCATTAATATTAATATTAATATTAGTAATAATAATAATTATTATTATAATAAAAAAAAAAGAAAGAATTAAAGTAAAACTCTGAAAATCGTCGTCGTAAAACAATTAATTAATTAATTGCTAATTAATTAATTAATTAATTAATTAGAAAACATCGTTTGTGTTAGAAAAAAAAAGCTCGCATAACTTTTGTTGTTGCATTTCGTGGCGAGACGACGACGATGATCAAATAATATTAATCGATTATTAATTCTGATCGTTCGATATGGGTTTTTTTTTTTTCTTCTTATTTTACAGGCCGACGAGTTGCCAGCGGAACAAATTGCTGGTAAGTTCAAAATCAAATTATCATTCATTTTTTAATTAAACATCTAACCACAAGACGAGAAGAACATTTCGTTAATTTGTTGAAAAAAAAAAAAAAAAAAAAAAAAAAATAAAACAAAAAGTATGATACGCGTTTTACGGATCGAGTGTCTCGAATGACAAAGTTCCGGAAAATGTATCATCTTATTTTCAGTTTGGCCTGACTAAATTTAGTTGCTACTCTTTTCTCTACCTACCTAACTCCCCCCTCCCCTACCTACCTCCCTACCTCCTCCCTTCTCCTTCCCCCTTTTTCGTGTCTCGTGTTCACCCTTTTCTTCCTCACGCTTGTGTCTTCAATTTAACTCTCATATAACTAACTGTAGATACTATTTTTTCCATTAGTGTTCCATTTGCCATTGATAAAATTCTATAATTGAAATTTTGTATTTTTGTATTTTTTAAATTAGGGTGATGTGTTGAAATGTTAAAAATAATTATTAGTAACAAAAATTATAATTTGATATAATTTCTTTTCTTTTTTAATTCAAAAAGGAAAACGAAATGTAGAACCCTAAATGTAGTTTTACCCTAAATCATTTATTTAGGGTATAATTTATTTATTTTAATTTTATTATATTAATTTATATAATTAATTACGATATATATTATATATTTTATTAGTAAAAAAAAAAAAAAAAGAAAGAAAAAATTATGAACTAAGAATTTAATAATAACAATAACATTATTAACAATATCAAAAACGTCTCTAAACTCAGTTATCATTTTATGTTTTGAATTTTCACGTGTTTTATATTGTTGAAATAAAAATGAAAAATGTTTAACAAAAGGTATATTAAACACTTTAGTATAAGAGATAAAATATCAAATCTTAATATCTATATATATATATATAAATTACGTGTGACGTTGTTTGTCCGCAATGGACTCCTAAACTACTAAACCGATTTTAATCAAATTTTACACACTGTGTGCAATTTCATCTAACTTGAAAGATAATAACATATATAATACGTTTCATATCTTTGTCTCGTAAAGTTAAAAACGTTTTTGTGTTGAAAGTTCGTTTCTCCCCGTGCCCCTATAGCACCTTCCCACCCTGATTTCGTTCGTCTTACATTAGCAGCATCATTTCAAAGGCTAAAAATGAACGCACGTGACTCTTAAGAAGTTGGTAAAGCTGGGCCAGCTAACAGTAACAGAGAGTAACGTTAAGAAACTAGAGAATTTCTAAATCGGTTTTGTAAAATCCCTTCTTCCTTCCTTCCTTCCTTCCTTTCTGCCCATCGTTCGAAGTTCATCCTGTTAACGTTGCTGCTAAAACGTGCCTCGACAAAGGTACTCGGAGTTTATTTGAGCTTCGATTCGATTGGGAGCAGCTGCTGGGTGTACCTAAGTTTAGCTTGCATGGTGGTACTCTTCTCTCTTTCTCTTTCTCTCTCTCTCTCTCTCATTCGTTTGAAAGATATCGCATGACGATCGATCTGAGTGAGTTCTTCTCTCTCGTCATAGTTCGTTCGAGCGTTTGAATTCAAATCCTATTGATAAAAATAAACTCCTACACAATAATATATTCTTTTTATTTTGTTTTGTTTTTCTTTTTTTTTTTTCAAAACCTCTCGTGTGAAATAAAAATAAAAAAAAAAAAAAAATAAGAAAGAAAATTTATTTAAAAAAAAAAATATATCAAGAATCTCAGAAGTTTTGATTGATTGAAGCAAATGAATTTTTCTTGAGATTGTTTTTTAAAGTATTTTGTATTTTAAATTTTGTTTTTTTTTTTTCTATTTAAATTCCACCCTTTTATTTAAAAAAAGAAATAAAATAAAAATACACAGATTTTTATAAATTTTGTTTTGAAACAAATGAATCTTTTTTTCGAAATTGTTTTGCAATGCATTGTAATTTAAATTTTGTTTCTTTTTACACAAACTCCACCCTTATATTTAAAAAAAAAAAAAAAAATTAAACCAAATATTCAGAATCTCATAATTTCTCATGATTTGAAGTAAATGAATTTTTCTTCACGCATTATTTTACAATATATTTTAATTGAAATTGTTTATGTTCTTTTTTTTTTCTATTTAAACCCCCACCATTTACCCCTCATTAGATTTTTGGTTTTTTTTTCTTCTTTCTTTTCTTTCTTATTGGAATATTTAAAAATAAAAAAGAAAATATAGTTAAAGAGACGAACGCAATACTTATAAAATAAGCATCGTAATTCAGTAATAATAGTGTTTTTAGAAAGAAGGACAAAGTAGTTAAACATTCGTTTGTTTACGAACGATATAAATTATTATTATTATTATTATTATTATCATTATTATTATTAAATAACACGTTACATCGTCTCGTCGTTGCTTGTTGTGTCATAGAATTGCGTTCATCGTTTTGCATTGAAAATTTTCTAACACTTGTCCTCGCCAAAATCGTAAAAAACAACACAAGTTGTAAAATCAAGTTAAAATATACATACACACATACACATGTAAAATATTTCTTCATAAAATATTCGACAGATTTTTGTTCTTGCGTTTATACATCGATTATTGTTTTATCGATTCGTAAAATGTGTCCCACACTATAAACTTTATTGTGCAAGATCTAAAAATAAAATAAAACACATTGTTAATTTAAATTGGTAAAAAAAAAAAATATATATATATATATTAAAAGAAAGAAAAAGGGCTAAAGTTCTTTTTTTTTAAATATATTTCTCTCTCTCTCTCTTTCTCTCTTTTCAATCTTCTTCTCTTTCTCTTTCTTACACGAGACAGTAGTAAATAAACGATGTAAACGACTATGAGCGATGATATAGAAAGCCAAATAAGCTCCGAGCCAAAATCGCTAGGGTAAGGAAGGGCATTAACATCGGATCTAAATTTGAATCTGAAGAAACGATGGCGCACTGCGTCAACATTTAGATGCTGTGCGAGGAGCTTTTAACCCGAAGACGAATACGAAAAACGAAAATGAGAAGAAAGAGAGAAAAAGAGGGGGATGATGGTGATGCTGGTGGTGGTAGTGGTGTTGGTGGTAGAAATAAAATACATTTCTAACAAATTCAATTTAAAATGATAATTTTTTAAATCTATAAATGTTGTTTCATTTGTTATTGTTTTTTGTTTGTTTTGTTTAAATAGTCCTTCGCAAAGCTTTCGACAGCTTCGATAGAGAAAAAAGTGGCAGCATTCCCACCGACATGGTGGCTGATATACTTCGACTTATGGGACAACCATTCAACAAGAAAACTCTCGATGAACTTATAGATGAAGTTGATGCTGACAGTGAGTAGTCATTCATTTATTATATATATTAATTAATTAATTTATATTAATTTATATTAATTAAATTAATTTATATATACTTACGATGCTTATACTTTACACTTTGGGTCAATTTAGTATATATGGTGTCGAAATTTGAATTAATTTATATTTATATTAATAATATTAATATTTTTTTGTTATCTACA